TTTGAATTTATATTATTCCAAGAAAATGTATCAACCATACTGAAAGACAGTTCCAAATGCCACAAAATTGAATTGTATTTTACTGGAGTACCAAAATGGTACATTAATAAAAGGTCATGTTGCAAATAAAGGTTTCAAGAACAGATGCTAATTTGAAGATTCACTCTCCTATTCTGTTAATTGTTTGGTTTATTTATTTCTAGTATCAAGAATTCATGTTAGTGAAATTCTGCCAGCTACAACTAGATATGAATTGATATAGATCAGTAAATTGGAATAATTACACGCAATCTTATTTATGAATTTTAATATTTGTCTTTGTTTTTGGCATTGTAAATTTGTCAATAATTATCTATCAGAGTTCCTTGATAGGATCTAAATCATGTAGGAGCTTGTTCCATAATATTCTTAATTGTTAAATACTGAATGCAAAACACCAAATCTGACTTTATCGACTTATTAGTTTATGTGAATGATCTAAAAATAATATTGTTCTTCTTTGATGCATTCTGCCTTACTTAAATAATATTACACGATTCAAAACTCATAAACTTCATAATAATAATAATTGTTTTTCATAAAATATTGTCCTCAAAGGTTTTTAACTTTAAATACTTTTGCTGTGAAAATTTCTTTGGGAAAACAAAATTCAGTATATGTCCTTTGCGTGATTACATTCTATATTTTCATAAACTACAAGGCAAAAATTCTTCATTCAATAAAAACAAATTTATTTTCAAATAATTAAAAAGTGGAATGTAAATTGTTGACACATGTCATTAAAAGCTGTAATAATTTAAAGAAACTACTGTAAATAATTTCTTTTACATGCTTATTTTAAGTGAATCATTCTTGATATGTTTTTAATACTTTTTAACATAGTAGTCATATTGGTGATATTGCTTACCTTCATAAAAGGTATTGATCTAATCTAGTTGAAATAGAAACACCACTGAAAAATTTTACATTGGGCAGAAAGCAATTTTAGCTTGGCATATATTTTAAATAAAACTATATTGAGCAGTCTAGCTTAGCTTCCTCTCCTTCAGGAGCACAACTGACATGGGAAAAAGGTAGCTATTAAAATTTATAAAGCACTGGAAAGAATTAGATTGGATTAGTATTAACTAAACAAGGGTTTTTTTTTTTTTTTTTTTTAAATGCGAAAGTGTTCAAGGAAATTCATTTCAGCAACTGAAGAAGCTTTGTGTATAATTCTTGCAGATCCTGTTGCATTTGATTATCTGGGAAGAGTTGAGCATTTTTCTTTTTCAAACATTGGATTTGTATTTCTCGGCAGCAAATTTAAGCAGTTTTTTCAGTTTGACTGATTTGTGTCAAATTACACTGACAAGGTATGGTATGAATTCGCCAAAAATTATTTATTGGAGATGGTATATTTAAGAATCCAACATTCAATTTCTCAATAGGTAAGAAAATGACACAAAAGTTGAATGCAAAAAGAACTAAGCACTCAATAATACTTGATAGTAGGAATAAAGGACAATAATTGTGAAAATGGCAATAGTAATTATTTCTACCACATCCATCACTCAGAAGACGGACGGACAGGAAGGGCTTGTGGATAGTTAGTGAAGGCACCAAGAAGCAGAGGCAAAAGCAAAATACATTTCAACTATATTTGGATGAGGTTGCAATTTTTTTTCCTGATTTTATGTTTTGTCAGTTAACCCAAAGAAAACTCGCCAATGGCTGGTAATGTCTCCTTATACATTGCACGACATATAGCGCATGCATTTGATTCAGCATTGTAATTGAACATCACTTTTACAGCAAGGCTATTTGGAAGCAATTTCTCAGAAAACGTCTTGATAGAAGTGGTTTTTTCGAATATCGAATTCTGCAGATCCTGTGTTTTTTCAGTACGCGATATAATAAATTTTGTTTGGTGTTGAACATTATCATGAGTTTCAGTTGCTTGTGCTTCTGAGAATTCTGCTGGCAAAACATCCGCAAGGACCAACCTTTCTTCTAAATTGATGTCTGAAATTTTAATGGACTCCTCCATGTTACTGGTTAACTTTCTTTCTTCTGAATGCTCATTATTCACAACCCTTTCGCTTTCTATCTCTTTCTCTTCTTCCAACCTGGAATCAGAGTCTTCTGCACTCGCTCTCTCTAAACTCCTGCACACATGCGCCTGACTACGATTCTCCACAACATTCAAGAGAACCGGTCGTTCCCTAATTTCCTCTATCACCTGTGCAGTTTTATTTCCTAACAAATAGTACTCTTTATCTAACTCTACTGAAGTAACTGCTGCCTTTGTAGTGGCCACACTAAAATCACCTTCAATGGTGACTTTCGCCAAAGGTGAACATTTACATTCTGTGTCCAAAGGCTGTTGCAGCCATACAGTTTCCCCTAATAAGTCACTAGTATTAATCCAAGTACTATTACACAGATCTATTCCAGCTCCAGTATCTCTCAGATATTCTTCTCTATCCCATTAATTACTGCTTTCTTGAAATACGTCTCAAAACATTTTCCTAAACTCTTCATTCCTAGATTATTTACCAGATTAGCCTTATTTTTTTAGGCTAATCTTGTGAATTTTTTATTATTTTTTTCCAGTGATAGACGGTTAGGTTGAATATGTCCGTCCTTTCCACATTGGTAACACCTTATTTTCTGCTGTTTCTCGAAACCTGCTTCATTGAAAACTTGCTTTATTTTAGGAGTCTCCATTTTTCTATGCTCTTTAATTCTTTGATGACCACTACTTTTCGGATTGTAACTACCATTTGAATTTACATACCGCTCTCTATCTTTCTCAAATGGTTTCTTTAACCCCACTCTCTATTCTAACTTCCTCGTATCTCTTCGCAAAGCCTCATACTTGTCGCATTTCTCTGCTAAAAGAGAAGCTGTTTTAAATTCTTCCCAATTGTCTAAGTAGTGCTCTCTTATTTCTAGAGGGATTCTCCACTTAATTTGCTTGGTGAGCATATGTTCCTTAAGACTTTCAAAATCTTGAACTTCCACTGAATCCAACCAATTCTCTAAATACACTCTTAATTCATACACTAAATCCCCCCATAATATTCCATTTTTTTTAGAATGATCTTCAAATTTTGTTTTTAGTGCCCAAGAATTAAGCTTGAATCTCTGCATGAGTAATTTCTTAACATGCTGATAATCATCCGATTTATCTGCTGGTTCTTTCACTATTAACTGGGCTACATCGTGAGGTAAAGAAGGAATTGGGAGACCCAATTAATCTCATTATCGTTCTCTTTTTTAGCTTGTTTTTCAAATAGCATAAAGAATAATGAAATATCTATATTACTTGGTTCAAAACGGGGTACTAGATCTTTCAAGTTAACTTTTTTTTCTCTAGATTGTTCAACTGTTGAAGCCGTGGAAGCTAGGTTGTTAGTCTGAACCACATTCATCAGTTTTAACCTTTCCAATTCAAAAACTCACTCCCGCTCCCGTTCTGCCCTCTCTTGTTCACGTTCCCATTCTGCTCTCTCTTGTTTTCGTTCCTGTTCTACTCTCTCTTGTTCATATTCCTATTCTGCTGTTTCTTGTTCAGCTATTTCTTCTGCTTTTTTCTGCTCAGCCACTGCCCAAATTCTTGCCGCGTATTATTTCGCCGCTTCTTCTTCATAGTCCTCGGCATTTAGAATAGCCTGCCTAATTTCTCTTACTATATTTGCCCGAGACACATTTGTACCAAACTCCTCCGCTAACTCCAATAGCGGAGCTTTAGAAAATTTCCTCATAAACTCACCCATTATGGAAAATTAAAGAAAAATAACCTACCCCAAAATACAATAACACAAAAACAACAACAGGTCTATCTCTCCAAAACTGAATAATACCCTAATAATTCTGAACATAAATTTCCTTACAACACTAAATGAATATACCTGTATACAAAACATATATCAAAAATGCTAATTGAGAGGCAACCTTTTCTTGCTCTATTTAACTATATAAATATTGTCCTCTAACTCTGGATGGATTTAAAAAACTAAATTTTTCTAAAGCATACCGTTACAATACTTCATGCAATTTAAACAGTTAAATTCCAGTTAGCAAAGGTAACCACAAGACTAACTTTTAATAACCACAAGAAAACTTTTGATCCCCAAAAACAGAGCTATATCCAAAATAAACATAGTCCCAAATAACTGACATAACTGCTCCAGAATCACAAAAATGATGCTCGCCAATTTTGAAGACGCCTCCGATTGACTCTCCTGGCACTGACTTGGATACTCTTCCAAGAAATTTCTCTATTTTGTGGCACTAGATACGCTTCCTCCAGCGTTCCCTTCTGACACATTGTCACTTTTCACTGACACATGTCATTGAAGAGGCTTCACCACGCGAACTGTCCTTGCACACAAAATTAGATAATTCTTGTGCAGAGAAAGTCTTGACTGCTCACATAAAACTCAAGTTCACAGGCGAAAAAGTCCATTCCTAAATTTACTTTCAGGAACAATCCCTAAAAGCTGCCATCAATTTTTTAATATTTACTGATGTGGTGTAGTATTCATGCTTCAAGGGTGTGGTGTTGAACTCCAATGAAAACGCTAATGATAGAACACCACATGAAAATTTTATTGAACACCCCCCCCAAAAAAAAAAAAAACTGGCTACATTCCATCAACAAGAGAAAAACCTAAATCTTTTTCTTAAAATCAAATTCTATACATTTTACGTGCGAGAGCAATACATGGCTCTTGAGCCTGCGTTTGAAACAATGCCAACATTAATTTTATTTTTATAACAATTAATTCAATTTACCAACTATTGAAAACGTATAAAAGTTAATAATAATATTAATCTTATGCTCTCGAGACTTCCTTGTCCATATTAATCTTCAGTTTCTTCTTCCTTTATGCGACCTTATCACAATATATAATGATGTTTTATCAATGACATTGATTAGTAGTAATTTGTTATTGTAACTTAATAATACAAATTTTTGTTTAAATTATAATCTGCTAATCTCTTCTTTTCAGGACATATCATATGGTGAACTGTTAGCTCCTTCTACTAAAAAATACAGATGTTGTTTAGATTCAGCGGTAGAAACAGATAATGCTTTCAGATTTCCTTATCAAGTGTACTCTACTGGGTATTCTATAGATCATGTGAGCAGGATTCATCCAAAATTGTCGACTACACCACCAAAATCTTTTGATAAATGTAAGCATACATTGATCTCTGTCTTCTGACTGTATCTCTACAGAGTCTTGTAAGTTCAGTATTGTGGTAAATTAATTTATAAAATCTGGTTAAAATGGTTCTACAGCATATAAGTGCACTGTAAGATAAACTTTTATTTTAACTGTAAAATAAACTCAATAATTCATTTTTTTTTCATTCTTTTAAATCTTTTCTCTCTTTATTTTGTTAATTTTTTTTTTAAAGTTTCTATCTTTAGTGATCTTCATAATGTCAATTACAGAAATACCTTTTGATGAGTTATATTATATTAAGTGATGAGTTAATGGGGTTAGCTTGGTTCGATGTTCATTTAGAAATTTCTCTTGAAAAGCCAAAATGGACCTCGAATTAGGCTAATTAACCATTTTCTGCTTTTTAATTATAATATATTTTTTGCCATTTACTTTGGTCAATCGATTAATATTTTACTGTGTTTTTAATTTACTTTTTATTTCGCATATAGCCTATTATATTACCTCATTCAATTGATTTGTTTTTTTTTTTAAATACTGTGTTAAAATTTCCGAAAATATTTAGCATATAGCTTTTATTAATCGAACTTGTAAATATACAAAATTTTTTCCATTTCCACACTTTTCATAACTACTGAATATGCTTATGTTGGAGTTTTCTTGGAGCCACAGCGTTTGGTAACTTTTTGGCGAGCTTACTACAATTTATCTTCTCATTTCCTTATTTTGCAGCACAATGCGCAGAAAAATTTTGACCAAAATTGGTCTTTTTTGTATTGTTCTTACAACTTTTCTTATTATATATATATATATATATATATATATATACTTGTACCCTTCTCTTTAGTTCAGTAATATGCGTATTGTGCTATTATTATGCAGAATTAGGCATAATTAGCTGACTATTTTAAATTTTGAAAAGTTGCTACATTACACTTTTAACAGTATAGAGATAATTTGTGCCACTTGGATTAGTGATACAACTGTTCATACTGACATAGCAGTTATAACAGTCCTATAATCTAAAAATGCTGTCTGTGAAATTATTACCTACTTAGCTCTAATGTCTTTCCTGAAGTTAAACAGCAAATGCATCAAAACATCAATTACAAGTGACTGTGTACATTATGGACCTATGCTGTTGAAATTATGTATTCGTACATTCTTTCATTTAGGGGGTAAGGAAGGGTTTCTATTAAACTTAGGATGTTAAACTCCAGAAGAAGATTAGAATGTTGTATGGGATGCCAAAATAACCACCTGAAAGACTTTAGTGTTTAAGTCATCAGACTATTAGGATTGTTAGGCAATATCAGTAACAGAATTTTTGTATGGATTAATTGTCAAGTAGTAAAAATGTTCTATACCATTAAACGTGTGCAGCAATATAGCTTTTTTTCTTTCCTAAATTTGAAACTGTTAACTACTTGTGCCCAGTACTAACAAATTCAGACAGGAAGAAAAAAAAAAAAAAAAGTTGCATAAATTTAATTATTACTATTGTATCTGAGACTTTATCCTATCTTTCTGGCAATTTGAATCTCCTCCTTAAAAAATTTCTTTTGCTGAAAAATATTTGTTTATTTAAAGAAGTTTTTTCTGTGAAGTGACATAAATAACTAATAATGAGAATTTTTAACTAAAAATTCATTAAAAATAAATTATTAATTTCGGAACTTTATTAGATGTATGTAAATTGCATGATAAACTGAATGTTTACGAAATGTATCGCTCATCATAGTTTAGGACAAAAAATTATTTAGTTTTCAATAATTGCATTTTCATGTAAAAATCATAGTTTATTGATTTCGCTAAGTGTATTTTTTATTTATATAATAACAAGGTAATAAAAATTGTAACCATTTTTGGCATAGTATGTAATTAAAAATTTATAGTATGATATAATAATTTTTATGGCATTGCCAAAAAATTTTTAAGTTAGTGTAAAATATTTTTAAGTATAATAATTTATATTCTTTAAGATGTATTTTAATCTTTCTACTTCTGATTAGGTTCAGAAAGGGAAGAAAATTTTGGATTTATTCACCCCTGGCACACAAGTTGTTCTGTATACCATCCTAATTTACTGGATGACCCAGAACTTATAGCTGGCAAGCATAGTACCCTTTTAGTTTTTCCATCTTACATAGTAAGTCAAAATGATTTTGATTTTGCATAGCAAGTATTTTCTTTGTATATATATGAGAATGTTTGGTGCAAGTCTTTAAAAAGATTGTTAGTCCAAAGGGGCTTTGTTCCTAAAGGACTGTTGTTTTCATTTTGTGATTTTACACTGAAAACTTTAAAAGGCTGTAGCATTTTTCAAATAATTGCCACTAAATACTGTCACCCTGTATTATATTTGAAGAAATTAAATAATGAAGAATCTGCATAAATGTATGTATGTTTCTCGCATTGTGATAAAACAACAGTACGTAGAGCCATCAATTTTGAATGACGTAATTCTACTGCAAATATGGACATCTGAAAGCCCAAATTTGAAATTTGGAATTTGTTTTATTATCGATTTCATATTTTGTAAAACTTTAATGAATTTTTGATTAACAAACTCAAGGATTTCAAAGCGAGCAAAGGCAACACTCTAAGGGAGCAAAAAAAAAACCTTTTTATCTCCAGTGCATGGAACTGTGTATTGGAAATTTTAAAGCTATGCTCATTTTAAAATAATTTTGCGATATTACTGAACTGAATTTTATGGTTTAAGTGCAAAGAACATAATATTTAATAAATAAAGGTAACACACAAAACGTTAAAAAAACGCCCCTTTGGATGTAATTTAAAATCTTAAACTTTTCAGATTTTATTTTATTAATATTTTTAATGATTATAATTATTTATTTATTCTTTATTTTCTCTAAAAAATGTTCTTTATCTTAAAAAGAATTAATTGCAATGATGAAAAAAGCAATTTACAGGTATTTCATATGAGTACGAGGTTAAATTATATGAAGAAACAAATTGTTAGCTGTTTGCTGCTATTATTATTATTAGTTAAGAATATTAAGAATTATTATTAACAATATTTATTTCATATAATTATTTTATTGAGGTTGATAAAGGTAACACATTTAAACTCACACATTATAAAATAATCAATCACTTACACATCTAGACAATTAGAGTCTCCTGTAATTATTTAACTGCATTTTAAGAAATATTGATTATTTTAGGGGATGGTGTTCTGGTGGAGAAGGGTTAATGTGAAAGGTTTCACAGTGCTTTCTTTCCTTATATTATTCAGCAGTTCTCTTTATCAGTCCAGTGTTAAGCATAATTATGAGCTGGGTAACGAAAAAGAAAATATACTCTTTTGAAAAGTAGAGGATAAACAGTCTTGATACTTTTACATTCTCACATTCAAGAATAAATTCCTAAATAAAGAACTCCAGCAGCAGCATACATGTGATCTTTCCTCCCCCTGTTAATCTAATCATATTGTAGATGAAAATTATACAAAGGCAGTAAATATAAATAGTTCTATTCTGAAACTATTCCAAATAATTGCTGTTGAACTTCCAGAAAAGATAAATTTTATTATAGTTGAAATTGACAAACTGCAATTAAAGAGAGTAGGGAAGAGGAAAAAATGCATAATCAAAAAAATTTAACAAAAAGTTTGCATTCATTTTAAATTCAGCCTTTAGTCTATTTAGTAAATTTTTACTGTTCAAAAACATGCTATAAAAATATTGCCTGAAGATGATGATTTACCTCTGGCATTTGATGTTAACAAAAACAAAGAAAGTTTCTGTTGTTAAATTGTTATAGGCAAGCAAGATAGAGAGATGATTCAGTATCGTTTGAGTTAACAAATCTGTTCTGCGGAAGTTGCATACAAATAACTTGTATCTTTATGGCAAATAATTACTGTGAATGTCAAAAGTTAACTTGAATGTGATATTTCATTATTTTAATTCACAAATGTGTTTTCTTATCTAAGGGAACTGGAAGAATAACCGTAGATCAAGAGTTTTGTATAAGACTATTCTAATATTTTCATATCCAGTTTTAAATAGGAATTTCTGTGAGCATCACAGTTTCTTGAAAAGTAAAAGGATAAGTCTCCAGTAGCTTGCTGATATAATTTAAGATAACCAAGATTTTTTCTTGTCATTGATTATATAAAATAATGGTCTATAAGTTTTCATTTGAATGGGTGTTATATTGTAACTTCCTCTGCGACAACTCTGAAGTGCTTCACCTGCTAGGTATATAATCACAAGATTTTGCACTATTCTCTTTGAGCACTATTCAGTATCTTGCCCGGTATTTATCTCTATGAGGTGTGACACACACACACACACACAAAAAAAAAAAAGAGAGACTAAATGTGTAGCTTGAAAACAGAGTGGAGTTGGCAACAGCTGTTTTGGTGACGTCATGCCACACACGTCCTCTATCCATGCAGCAGTTCAGTTTGACTTAACCGACCACGCTAGTGGGGAGTACTGCGTCATTAACCGACCACGCTAGTGGGGGAGTACTGCGCCAGTGAACACATGTAACTGCATTCTGCCAGAAAATTGTGTAATGTAAAAGAATATTTATTTCATATAATTATTTTATTAAGGTTGATAAAGGTAACACATTTAACTCACACATTATAAAATAATCAATCACTTACACATCTAGACAATTAGAGTCTCCTGTATTATTTAACTGCATTTTAAGAAATATTGATTATTTTAGGGGATGGGTGTCTGGTGGAGAAGGGTTAATGTGAAAGGTTTCACAGTGCTTCTTTCCTTATATTATTCAGCAGTTCTCTTTGTCAGTCCAGTGTTAAGCATAATTATGAGCAGGGTAACGAAAAAAGAAAATATACTCTTTTGAAAAGTAGAGGATAAACAGTCTTGATACTTTTACATCTCACATTCAAGAATAAATTCCTAAATAAAGAACTCCAGCAGCAGCATACATGGATCTTTCCTCGCCCTGTTAATCTACTCATATTGTAGATGAAAATTATACAAAGGCAGTAGTAAAAATAAAATAGTTCTATTCTGAAACTATTCCAAATAATTGCTGTTGAACTTCCAGAAAAGATAAATTTTATTATAGTTGAAATTTGACAAACTGCAATTAAAGAGAGTAGGGAAGAGGAGAAATGCATAATCAAAAAAATTTAACAAAAAGTTTGCATTCATTTTAAATTTCAGCCTTTAGTCTATTTAGTAAATTTTTACTGTTCAAAAACATGCTATAAAAATATTACCTGAAGATGATGATTTACCTCTGGCATTTGATGTTAACAAAAAACAAAGAAAGTTTCTGTTGTTAAACTGTTATAGGCTAAGCAAGATAAAGAGAGATGATTCAGTATCGTTTGAGTTAACAAATCTGTTCTGCGGAAGTTGCATACAAATAACTTGTATCTTTATGGCAAATAATTACTGTGAATGTCAAAAGTTAACTTGAATGTGATATTTCATTATTTTAATTCACAAATGTGTTTTCTTATCTAAGGGAACTGGAAGAATAACCGTAGAACAGGAAGTTTTGTATAAGACTATTTTAATATTTTCATATCCAGTTTTAAATAGGAATTTCTGTGAGCATCACAGTTTCTTGAAAAGTAAAAGGATAAGTCTCCAGTAGCTTGCTGATATAATTTAAGATAACCAAGATTTTTTCTTGTCATTGATTATATAAAATAATGGTCTATAAGTTTTCATTTGAATGGGTGTTATATTGTAACTTCCTCTGGGACAACTCTGAAGTGCTTCACCTGCTAGGTATATAATCACAAGATTTTTGCACTATTCTCTTTGAGCACTATTCAGTATCTTGCCCGGTATTTATCTCTATGAGGTTGGACACACACACACACAAAAAAGAGAGACTAAATGTGTAGCTTGAAAACAGAGTGGAGTTGGCAACAGCTGTTTTGGTGACGTCATGCCACACACGTCCTCTATCCATGCAGCCAGTTTTGACTTAAACCGACCACGCAGTGGGGAGTACTGCGCCAGTGAACACATGTAACTGCATTCTGCCAGAAAATTGTGTAATGTAAAAAAAGAATATTTATTTCATATAATTATTTTTATTGAGGTTGATAAAGGTAACACATTTAAACTCACACATTATAAAATAATCAATCACTTACACATCTAGACAATTAGAGTCTCCTGTATATTTAACTGCATTTTAAGAAATATTGATTATTTTAGGGGATGGTGTCTGGTGGAGAAGGGTTAATGTGAAAGGTTTCACAGTGCTTCTTTCCTTATATTATTCAGCAGTTCTCTTTATCAGTCCAGTGTTAAGCATAATTATGAGCTGGGTAACGAAAAAAGAAAATATACTCTTTTGAAAAGTAGAGGATATAAACAGTCTTGATACTTTTACATTCTCACATTCAAGAATAAATTCCTAAATAAAGAAACCAGCAGCAGCATACATGTGATCTTTCCTCCCCCTGTTAATCTAATCATATTGTAGATGAAAATTATACAAAGGCAGTAAATATAAAAAATAGTTCTATTCTGAAACTATTCCAAATAATTGCTGTTGAACTTCCAGAAAAGATAAATTTTATTATAGTTGAAATTTGACAAACTGCAATTAAAGAGAGTAGGGAAGAGGAAAAATGCATAATCAAAAAAATTTAACAAAAAGTTTGCATTCATTTTAAATTTCAGCCTTTAGTCTATTTAGTAAATTTTTACTGTTCAAAAACATGCTATAAAAATATTGCCTGAAGATGATGATTTACCTCTGGCATTTGATGTTAACAAAAAACAAAGAAAGTTTCTGTTGTTAAATTGTTATAGGCTAAGCAAGATAGAGAGATGATTCAGTATCGTTTGAGTTAACAAATCTGTTCTGCGGAAGTTGCATACAAATAACTTGTATCTTTATGGCAAATAATTACTGTGAATGTCAAAAGTTAACTTGAATGTGATATTTCATTATTTTAATTCACAAATGTGTTTTCTTATCTAAGGGAACTGGAAGAATAACCGTAGATCAAGAAGTTTTGTATAAGACTATTCTAATATTTTCATATCCAGTTTTAAATAGGAATTTCTGTGAGCATCACAGTTTCTTGAAAAGTAAAAGGATAAGTCTCCAGTAGCTTGCTGATATAATTTAAGATAACCAAGATTTTTTCTTGTCATTGAT